GTCAAACTATAAATTACATAGATGGGCAGTTAATGTGAAAAGCCCCCCTAAAAATGTACAAATTAACTGGTACTGAATTGAGTTCTCCATTTACCTCTATATACAATTAAATGTAAACCATATTTTCACAGTTTTAAGTGTTTTATGACTAGATGCACAGTACCATGTCAGGTTGATGATTGTTCCAGAAAACTGGCTCTAGGTTCTGCACCCAATGCCTGGCAGCTACTGTGATACAAACACTTACATAAATAAGAAACTGTGTCATAGTCAATGGTCAAGACAATTCAGCAAGAGCGCAGTATTTCCAATGGAGAAGGATACTCAATTCTCTATTTTACATACTTGTGCAAATGTAAGCATTAGGACAGATACATCTGAGGCAAATTCAATTTGAAAAACTTGTGTCGCTATGTTGTAAACTTGGGCAAGAAATGACCCTCAGCAAGTTCTGCTCTCTATGGCTTTTTTTTCTTTAAAAATTTTAAAGCCAGAGAAGATGCACACACACACTACCCACACACGCACACGCGCACATACACATGTGTACACACACACATGCCATAGACATACACAGAGTTCTTATTTCATTTTAGAATATGGTACATATTCAACTTCATCACAATGTAGAGGTTTAACACACATTCAGCGTGTGTTGTTCTGTGCAAGTTCTTAGTGGTCTAAGTCCTAGTTGAAGGTATTCATTTGCAGAACCACATGATTCAGGAGGTTGAAGAAAAAAAAAGTTTCATTACATTTCTGAAACCAGCACTGGATGTGCAAAGGCAGCGGACAATCTGGCCATCAACACAGCCAGACTGGGGTAACTGTAAAGGAACATCCAAGCAGTTAGTTACTTAGATTGGTCTCTAGAAAAATAGGTTAGTATATGCTGTATCTTTGTCAACTGTTCTTTCAAAGACTTCATTGACAAAACTGACAGCTGGTAGCGGGGATCTACAGGAAGAACTGCTAGAAGCCACCAACACCATGCAGGTCCATTAGGAGTTGCCCGAAGGTTTTCCTCCCTTTCGGGCATTGATCCAAAGTGCTGAATTTGGCTTCGAAATCTATCTCTTAAATTTTGAAACAAGCTGCAGGCTTGAGAGTATACCAAATCATGAAGTTCTGTGAGATTCTTAATCTCATCTTCATTTTCCACCTTTACATCTTCCAGATATTTGATGTCTGTAGTGCAATATCCATCTTTCATTTCTCTGTTTAAAACCCGAAACCGCTTTCCTCTAACTGTATCAACCACAGACCTTCCATCAGGCAAGAAATGTACATTTCTAATTTGTAACATACAACCATAATCTGCAAAACTGCTCTGTGCATCACTGACACACATCCCAAACTGTTTGGTTCCAGTTTGTATACTTCTTCGAATCATCAGTCTGTATCTTGGCTCAAATACATGAAGAGAGCAAGGCACAGTGGGATAGGCCATAGTGCAAACAAATATTGGAACATTCTTGGTCAAGTGTGAGAGTTCAGCAGTTTCTTCATCATATATTTTTTTTTCTCTCAGACAGTTCATCAGGCAGATACTTCACTATTAATTCTTCCAGCAGCTGTGTGACACAGTACCTCCTATCAGCTAGATACTCTTTTAAACTTTCTTTGCAAAGAGGACAATATGGCGCATGATCTAAACAACGCTCAAGACAATTCTTACAGAACGAATGTCCACAAGGGGTTGTCACTGGCTCAAAAAACAACCTCATGCAAAGAGAGCACTCAAAATCTGAGGCATCTATTCGTTCTTCTGGAATATCGCCATAAGCTAATGAAAACATACAGACTTCATTGGGAGTTTCACCTTGTTTTTTAAGCTTATTTCCTCCATCTTCATTCACAATCACATCCTGTTCTAAAAGGGACAACTTTCTTTTCAGCAGAACACCTTTTCCCCGAACAGACAGTAAAGGTTCTGAGGACACACTTTTTAAACAATCCTCTCGGGTAGGCTGTTGAGTTTATAGACTGTGCTGATTGAGCACGGTTTAAGCTTCCTTTGACATGCTCTGATGTGACCTCTGGTATTTCTTCATTCTGCTTTGGGCTAAGCTCACTGGGAGACGGAGACTCTTCCATTACTGAAGGAAAACCAAAAGGCTTGTTTTTAGTACCTGGTAATGAACTCCAAGAAGGTTCCTTCAGGCCTTCTTTTAAGTTTTCAGGTGATAATAAATCACATAAAATCTTTTCTACTTGTAGCTTTGCAGGGGCAAAATCTTCATCAAGGGTTAAGCACTGAAGAAAGAGTCGTAAGGCATCACCTAAAAAACCAGCATCGTGGAGCACTTTTCCCTTCCTGAAGTAGACCTCAGGCCAATCTGGAAGTTGGAAGAGAACTGCATTTAAATCTTCAATGGCTGCTTTATACTCTTGGAGACCAGCATATGATTCTGCTGTATAAATTTTTAGAATCCAGTCACTGGGCTCTGCTCGCAGCGCCTCGCAGGCGGCAGCCAGGGCCTCCCGGTAGCGGCCCTGGTGCAGCAGCTCCCCGAGCCGGCCGGCCGCCCGCGCCCGCTCACGCTGGCCGGGGAACCATTTCTCGGCCCGGTGGCTGAGGACGACGCTGGTTCTGAAGTCCGAGGCGGAGACGGCGGCGGCCGCGGGCCGGTCCCCTCGGCATCGGTGGCACTGGCGGCGGCGGGAGGCAGCCGGTCCCGGCACAGGCGGCAGCGGGCGCGGAGCTCTCTCCGCAGGCAGCGGCGGCAGGAGCTGTGGCCGCAGGGCACGGTCACCGGCTCGCTCAGGAAGCCCTGGCAGCCCAGGCAGCTGAGGCTGCCGCCGGCGCCCGCGCCCGCGCCCGCAGCTGGGGCTGCGCTCCAGCCCAGCCCGTGGCGGAGCCGGTAGTTGAACACCAGGCAGTCCACCAGGGTGCCGAGGCACTCGGGCCTGGCCGGGGCCCCGCGGCGCAGCGCCGCCACATACGCCTCCAGCACTGTTTTCAGGTGGCCGCCCAGCACCCGCAGCTCCCAGCGCTCTGACTCCGCGGCTACGCCCTCCAGCCAGTCGCCGCCACCGCCCACTTCCCAGAACCAGCTTGAGCCCCGCGGCGTGGGCACCATCTCCCGACTCCCCCCAGGGGAGGCCGGAGATGACATGGCCCACGGAGGGCTGCTCCGCCACCACCACCACCTGCCACCATGGTCCCAGAGCCTCCGAGGCGCGTGGTTCCACAGGCGGCCCATGAGCAGGGGGACGTGGTGCTGACGGGGTTGAAGGCTTAGAGGTAGCTGACTGGTATGGTGGGGGGAATTATCTCTTCCCAGTTAGAATCAGGGAGAACAGGGTAAAAGGGGTTATTTGGGGGCTTATGGAAGGCATTCTGCTTCTCACGAGGCTGTGATGACACAGTCTCCGGGGGCTCTGAAGTTTCCGCCCCCTTCTCCTGCACCGTGAGGACCAAAGGGGGAGGGGATTCCACTATATCTTGCCAGACCAGTATATAAGGTAGTTGGTCTGGGTGGCCCTGGGAGCCTTTTTGGAGGATGACATTCTTGACCTGCAAAAGAACACTTGTTAGTAAAGTCTCTTGTCATGGTCAGCCTACATTGAAGGTGGGCCACTCAGTGGCACACAAATCCCAGAACTTGCCCTTTCCTTTAGTTCTGAAAAGTGTACAGTCATGAGAGTTAACGGCATTGTCTGTTTCTGTCCCATCTCACTCGTCAGTACTGTCACCCCAACAAACACAACCTACAAGACAAAAAGGGAAAATGACAAGAGACAGACAGTAGCAGCTGCAAAAACAAATCTGAAAGTACGATAGAGGAGAGACAGACTGTCGATGAGTCTGACCTTCCCCACAGATGAAGACCTCGTCTTCCGGATGGGGACGTGAGACGTCTCCCACGAGCCCTGGCCGGCGGCTTTCCAGTGCGTCCACCTAGCCTGATGCCGACCTCAGAACAAAGTGTGGAGCTCCACCTGAGACACAGAACACAGATGCGCTAACCCGGGAGCGACTTACCGAATGCCAGCCTGAAAACTCTCAGAACTGGGGTCTTGGGGTCTCTGGGATCCCGGGAGAGCCCCCAAATGTAGTGGCCAAAAGTTCAATCTGAGAGACCACCAAGAGCCACTTGTGATGAAAGTTCAAGAGGGTCTTTATTTACAAGCTCGAGCCTGGGCCTCTGTCGACAACTGACACAGCGGAGTACATTCAGAGGCTCTGATTTCCTTAAGCAGATGCCTTTTACGCTTTTACACAAAGGAAGGAGGAGTCTGGGGGGCTTTCCAGTTTTGTTACCATTTAATTGGGTAGTTTCTCTGGTGGTCAATTAATCGTGGAGGATTGGCTAGCCTGACTCGGGCTGACCTTGGTCCACTAGCGAGGGAAGTTGCAGAGACATCTGGAAATTTAGGTGATTACCCCCTGGCACCTGATTGGTTGTTGCTAAGGGGAAAGTGAGATAAGGGAAGAATAACTGGAGCTTTGCAGTTTTTCCCATAACTGGAACTTTAAGACAGAAAGTTACAGGTTATGTTTAAGACAGAAAACTAAAAACTAAAAATGGCTGTGCTATTGTCCACAAGCTGATTTCATATTTATTGGGTTATAGCATGTTCTTAACCTAAGTCTATAGTATACTTTATTACTGTCCTCTCAACATATGAGGTGGCACACCTTGCAGGGCATTGTCTAGACTGCAGTGGCCATAAGCATGCTATTGCACTCCAACCTGGGTGACAGTAAAAGTGAAAAATGAAAAAAGACACAAGCAACAGTGCCAGAAAACAATTCAGCATTACACAAGCTGTCACAAGGGTTCTGATTACAGATTGCTTTTCAAATCTTTTATAATATGAACCTTTCTACTATGGGGTACTAAAAGTAAACCTTATGGTAGAAGAAGTAGAATTGGGGCCATATGGAAATGTTTTCAAAAACATGAAAGTGTAAAAATTTCAGACAGGAAATTTTTTTAAAGTTATAGTCTCAACCGGGCTCACTGACTCAGCCTGTAATCCCATGCTTTTGGGAGGCGGAGGTGAGAGGATTGCCTGAGTCTACGGGTTCGAGACCTGCCCGGGCAAATTTGGGAGACCTCATCTCTACAATAAATCAAAAAATCAGCCCGGTGTGGTAGCTCATGCCTGTAATTCTGGCTACTTGGAAGGCTGAGGCGGAAGAATCACTGGAGCCCAGCATGTCGAGGCTGTGGTGGCCAGGAGCGACCACTGCACTCCAGTCTGGGCAACAGAGTAAGACTCCAACTCAAAAAAAAAATTAGCTCAGAAAGATAAAACCAAATATTGAGTGTTCTCACCTGAATACTAGGTATGCACAGACTTCGAGATGAGAATGGCAAACACTGGGGACTGATGAACGGGGAAGGAGGGAGCCAAGCATTGAAAAACTGCTTATTGGATACCATTGTCCCTGATTGGGTGATGGGTTTAACAGAAGCTTAAATCTCACCATTACACGATATACCCATGTAACAAACCCGCGTGGATACCTACTAAATTCAAAAGAGGAAAAAAATAAAAATTCATGAAGAAGAAAATATATCTTTATTGCTCACTAAATGAAAATAGGTCATCCTAAAATTCTTCATACTTGCCATCTTCGCCATAAGAAGGTGAGGGTGCGGTGGGATGGGAGAACCTGGTCTTGCTGTCTTGGGTGACAGAGGCGGAAGTGTTGGAGGAGAGACTGAAGAGGCTGAACTTGGTGAGGCTTAACAGAAACACATCTTTATTTCTGTCTGAGATTGGGTGCGGTGGTTCATGCCTATAATCCCAGCACTTTGGAAAACTGAGATGGGAGGATTGCCTGAGCCCACGGATTTTAGACCTGCCCAGGCAACTTGGTGAGACCTCATCTCTACAGTAAATTAAAAAACTAGCTGGGCATGGTGGCACATTCCTGTAGCTTCAGCTACTTGGAAGGTTGAGGTGGAAGCATCACCGGAGTCTTGCGGGCCAAGGCTGCAGTGGCCAAGAGCCTGCCACTTCCCTCCAACCTGGGGGACAGATTGAGACTATAACTTTTTTTTAAATAAACACTGTATGTACCTGTATCAGTGTATGGTCTTCTGGACTGAGTGACATGAAACAGATGAGAAGCAGTAGAGTGATGAACATTTTCCTGCCTAGGCCTTTCTCTGACCATGGCCTCCTGGGCACAACTGGACTGCATTAGTGGCCAGAAAGCACTGACCAGTAGGTGGTGCCCAGGGTTAGAGCAGGGTGAATAAACTGACCTTTCACAGGGCACTCTTTCCAGCCTGGCTCCCACGAATATGCCTCCAGCACCTCCTGAAGTTGTCCCTATTTGGTCTGCAGGAGTTTTTTCAGGACAGGCTATCCTGGGCCTGGTCCCTGAAGCATGACATGGTCCTGGGGTACCTTCAGGCATCCAGGGCTCAGCTGAGAAGGATACAGTGTGAGCTGTCCCTGAGGTTGAGTCCAGCACCAAGTCAACTCCCAAGTCACCCTCTGGAGTAATAAAGAGGGGAGAACACAGGCCCCATTAACTCATTTCTGTGAGTGTTTCTCCTCATCCTCTACTCTAAGATGCTTCTGAAAACTGGCCTAGGTGCACCCCAGGGCAGGTGCTGACCTTGAGATTACTGAACATGCCTCAGAGACAGGGCAATGGATGATGGCTAGACCCCTCCAAGCCCCTCTACCATACCCTCCTGCACCTGCTTTTGAAGGGACCTGAAGGAAACCAGAGAGAGCACAGCCATATGTGTGAGCTGATAACAATATCCCCAGGAAACAGGAAATTCTTTAATCCTAAGCACCTTCCTCACAAGAGTGGCAGGACAAAATGCCCTGAACAAGGGAATGAAGAAAATTAATGTCCCAGACCCAGGCAGAATTTGAGAGAGAACCAGTTTGGACCACAGCCCAGACCCAGAACTCAGAGTTCAGTTGCGTATGCAATATTCAGTCCTTTCATTATGTGGAATGGCAGCCCCAGAGGACCAGGGGCCCAGTGCCTGGGAGCATCTACCTGCAGTGGAGACAAGTTTCATGTTAGGATGGCAATGGAGCTTGGTTGATAGCGAAGGCCTCTCCCACCTGAGTTCTTTACCAGGGCCAAAGGTGAGGTGAGGTAGAGTAGCCCTGGGGTGAGGGCATGAGGCAGGGAGCCAAAGCCAGTCCAAATCCTAGGGAGACATCACAGGAGAAGTGTGAGGTGTCCCAACGGCAAACATGTCCCAGGATGCACACACCCTTAGATCTGGGATCAGTTTCCTGCATGGGTGTCTTTAATGTTGGAGCACGAGTGCCACACAGAAAACATGAGGACTCCAGGTACCAGGGTCCATGAGGTCCCACCCAATGAGAGGCAGGTAAGGTCAGTCGAGAAACTGATCTACTCTGTAGGCATCCACCAATTTGGAGACCCTCTCCAAGTTAGATAGCCTGGGTCTCTCCAGTCCACCATCTCAGCTCTAGAAAACCATGGAGCAGGCTGGGCACAGTGGCTCACACCTATAATCCCAGCACTTTGGAATGCTGAGGTGAGAGGACTGCCTGAGCCCATGCATTGGAGACCAGCCTCAGTCATTTGGCAAGGCCTCATGTCTACAATAAATGAAAAATTAGGCCAGTCACGGTGACTCAGACCTATAATCCCAGCACTTTGGGAAACTGAAGTGAGAGGACTGCCTGGGTACACAGGCTCGAGATGAAGCTGGGCAACTTGGTAAGATCTCATCTCTACAATAAATCACAAAATTAGCTGGGCATGTTGGCATGTGCCTGTAGTTCCAGCCACTCAGAAGACTGATGTGGAAGGATTGCCTAAGCCCAGCAGGTCGGGGTTGTGGTGGCTGGGAGCATGCCACTACCCTCCAGCCTCAATGACAGAGTAGACTCCGACTCAAAATACATAAAGAAATAAAGAAATAAGTGGACATGGGGGCATGTGCCTGTAGTTGCAACTACCTGGAAGGTTGAAGTAGAAGCATCACCTAGTCCAACAGGTTGAGGCTGTGGTTGCTATGAATGCTACTGCACTCCAACCTGAATGACAGAGTACGATTTCAACTAAAAAAAGTGGCAGCACCGCTCAATTAGTAGCCATCCTCGCCCGATGTCACCTAGCTGGACTGATCCCCAAACTGAGGCACAACTGCAG